CCTCCCTTATCCTCCTACCGCCTCCGATGGGCTCCTTAAGGGCAGGGCCAGGTCAGATCCACTTCTGATTTCTGCTCCCTGCCTCCACCAGGCTCCTTCGCCACAGTAGGTGCTCAACTAATACATGGTGGGTGGATTTGCCCCTAAAAGGCCAATATGAGCATCCTCCAACCCTCGGGAAGAGCAGCACCCCCAGACCCCACTGTCTCTCAGTTTTGCCTTCTCCTTGGCTATAGGGAACCTTGTCTTCCTGCCCAGTGTCCCCACAGCAGGGCACAGCCGAACAGGGCCTTTGGAGGAACCCACACAGGTGGGCCTGCCCTCCTCCTCCTCCTCAGGCTGGAAATGGAATTTCATCTGATTAGGGGAGGGACCTTCTCCCTCTCCGTGCCCAGCAGGAGCTCCTTACTCAGGAGCTGGCGCTGAAACACGAGATGGATCTCCAGCCGGTCTGCACGTTAAAAATCACCTAATCAATAGCACCCAAGCCCAGGCCTCACCCCTGACCAATTAAATCAGGATTTCTAGGGATGGGGTCCAGCATGGTGTTCCTCTGAAGCTCCTCAACAGGTTCTATTACCACACCTGGGCTAAGGGCCTTTAGGTTAATAAAATGGATCGGGCCCCAAGCATGCTGCGCCCCAGCCCCAGGGAGCCCCCCGTGCAAGGATTCCACGCGCCCAGGTTTCTCCCATCCTGACCCAAGGCTCTCCCAACCCACAACCTGGTCACCCTGGGGACCCCGCGGGCAGCACCCGGACTCCCAGAGCGGACTGCACTCCCGCCCCCCTCCCGTCTGCCTTTGGGGTCTGACTGGCCCTCAGTCCGGCCAGCTCCTGCCCCTCAGCCCCGCCGCGGCCACCCCCTCACCGCAATCGTGGCAGCCGAAGCCCATTCCCGGCTGCCTGAAGCCAGGTGCCAGCCCGTGCTCCTGCGCGCCCAGAGCGGCTACCCCGGCCCGTAGCCCCGCCCCCGCCCAGCGATTGGCTCGGCGCAGCCCCGGGACCGCCCAGCCGCTGGCAGGTGGGAGCCCGCGCCCGAGGCCGCTGCCGCCATGTTTGTTGTGGGCACTTGCCCTTAGGGACCACAAAGGAGAACGTGGGAGAAGGGGCGGGTTGCCTGTTAACTCCGATCTGCTCATCCCCTTCTCAGTTCTTCACGTCCTTTCAGGGTGAGGACAGAGTGAAGAAATAAAACGGAGTCCCTGTGGTCAAAAGGCTACATGACTAACATCAAAGTAGGCCGAGGCATGAGGAAATGATTCTAGTCTTGCTTTAATCGGCCTGGGAACTTAAACTTTTGAACGTTTCAGTTGTGCAACAATGCCCGGAGTATGGAAATGTGTAGATAACCCCCCCACCCCCCCCCCGCAAACATTAGGAAAGAATGTTGAGTGTCCAGACCAGATCCTGACATCTGTGAGATTCCTATCTCGGATCAATCCCAGAGGCTAAGAGGACAAGGACTGATTCTTCTCAAGAATGTACTTTTTACTGTAAGAGCTCTCAGCTTTTGTCTCTTACTAGGAACACTCTGGGTATTGCCTAGTTGTACATGTATTTCCCATTTGCAAATCCCAAGACCATCAAATAAATCTTTATCGTTTATGTCTAGCCAAAGCCTCCTGATTCATTTATATACAAGTTTAAATCAATTCCCCTGTCCTTCCTTAGCACTAAAGAATGAGAGCTCAAGCTGAAACCGGTTTGGCACAATGGATAGAGCCTCGGCCTGTGGACTCAAGGGTCTGGGTTCGATTCCGGTCAAAGGCATGTACCTTGGTTGTAGGCACATCCCCAGTGGGGGGTGTGCAGGAGGCAGCTGATCGATGTTCCTCTTCTATCGATGTTTCTAACTTTCTATCCCTCTCCCTTCCTCTCTGTAAAAAGTCAATAAAATATATTTAGAAAAAAGAAAAAAGAATGCGAGCTCAAGGCTTGTCTGACTGGATGCACAGATGACACAGATAAAGAGATGGCAGTGGCATGACCTGGGACTCCCTACCGCTGGATTGTGAGCCCCTCAAGAGCAGACAGACCCAGCTTGAGCTGTGGGCACCGGCCCTAAGACAGCTACCATGCAGCCCAAACTCCTCCTTATTAATAATAGTAATAATAAAATATAAGGAGAAATGAGCTCTCACACTGAGCCCTGTATTGTGTCAAGAACTCTATATGCATTCTCTTGTTGAGTCCTTACATCATTCTTTGGAGGCAGGTGCCTATTATCACCATTTTTCAGATGAAGAAACTGAGGTTCAAAGAGATTCACTGACATTCACACAATAAGCAAAGAGGCCAGACAAGCTGGATCTCCGAACAAGAGTCTTTCCTCTTCTTACCCCTGCAGGCCCTCACGTCTTGTTTTGCTCAGTCTAGTCTGGGGAGGATGACCCACGTCTTCTCCCACAGGCCTGTAGGCCTGGTTAGGTTTCCAGGCAATCAAGCAGCACACACCCAAGACCTGCTGTTTCCCGGGAAAGAGGGCGACAAGCATGGCCTTCAGCTGCTGAACCTGGCCTCCTTCCCCTGCCTCCACTTCTTGGTGATGGGACCCCACTTCCGTAAGCCATGAGTATGCCTTACGTGGACTTTGTGGGCATTAAATGAGAAGCAGGGGCATAAAAGCCTTGCAAACTTTTGGTCCTTATGCCTTTGTTGATTGTTGTCAACAGGAATATCATTCTCTTCCTCCTTCCTGACATCCTGGCAAAGGGCCCGTTCGCAGCAAATGGTCCAACACAAGAGCCCTGACGTCCAAGGACCAGAACATGTGCAACCAGGGGCCCCAGGGCCTTGCCCTCAGAGTTCATCTCCCGCCAGCCCGTCCCATTTCCCTCCTTCCCGATCTTGCCCCTTCAGACCCTCTTCTTACCTACCGAGTCTCTCCTAAGCCACACACACACACACACACACACACACACACACGCGCACAGGCACACACACACATCATTTCTCCTCTAGACCTCGAGCAATTGCAGCAACCCCTTCTGCTCCAGGAAGCTTCATGACTAGAAGGAAGGTGGCCATTTCTCCCATCCCTCCTGACCTTCATCTATGCATTCCTGGCTGTGAGAACAGAGGACAAGAAACCCAACAATTCAGCTCAGAGCCTGGCACGGTAGGGCCTCCGCAAACGGATGAAAGAGGTGCCCCTGCCTTTCCATCTCTGGCCAGCATGTGCCTTCATCCAAAGCAAACCCTGAGTCTTTACTTAGCCCTCCCTGGGTGTCCCACTGGGGAACAAGGGAAGGGGAAGACTGCCGAAGGGCCACAACTAATGTGAAGTAACAGGCAAGACTTTGGCCCGTGGGTTGCACTTGATGCCCTATGGGTTACCCGCTGAGGCTTCCCAGCCATCCGGTTTTAGTCAGTGTAGCCAGTTATCCTTTAGTGTTGTCACCTGGGTTGGGCCCTGTGCTTATCTCCGATTTCCCTCCCTGGTTGCCAAGCACAGAGCTAACTCGGAGGGGACAGGAGGTGTGACTGAGGTCATACTGCTTGCCTGACTTCTTGAATGATATCAGAGTTCCTGGATCCTGGTACAGATAGATGCACAAACAAAAATGTCTTTGTTTGAAATTCTCTCCTTCCTTGCCTTCCAACTTCTCTGACCCAGGTTCTCCTCCTACCTAACAACTTCTCAGTCTCCTTCACTTTTTTCTAGCGCTTTCTAAAAGTGGAGGGAGGGTCTCCCAAGTTTCCATTTTCAACACTCTCTCTTTTAAGAACTCTGTGATTTTATTTTTTAATATATACTATTTTTTCCATCACCATTTATCACCCTATACCCTCCTCCACCTTCACCCACACCTCTTCCCCCACCACCACCACCACAATCACCACACTATTGTCAATGTCCACGAGTTCTCTCTTTTTTTCCCCTCAATCCCTCCCCCCAAACTCCACCCAGAGCTGTCTGAGTCAACAGAAAGGGGAAGGAAATGATGGTGGCCTGGCCTCGCAGCAGCTGGGAGAGGGCACCGGTTTTAATCATTCAGTGTTTACTATCCACCTACCAGGGAAGAAAAAGGTGGAGGGAGTGACTGGAAGCAATCTTTCTGGCTTCCCCCAACTAGCTTCTGGGCTTTAGAATCAGGGTTCATTTTTTTTTTCTTTTTTTTTCTTTTTTTTAAAATATATTTTTATTGATTTTGTACAGAGAGGAAGGAAGAGAGATAGAAAGTTAGAAACATCGATGAGAGAGTCATCGATCAACTGCCTCTTGCACACCCCCTACTGGGGATATGCCCGCAACCAAGGTACATGCCCTTGACCGGAATCGAACCCGGGACCCTTCAGTCCCCAAGCGGACGCTCTATCCATTGAGCCAAACCGGTCTCGGCTAGAACCAGGGTTCAAATCACTGTGCTACTTACCTACCAACAGCGAGCCTGGGAAATGGCCTAACTTCTCTGAGTTTCTGGTTCCTTATCTATGAAATGAGAATGATATCACCATGTTCTGCACACGATTATTAAGAACTAGAAGTTCTGCCTAGCCAGAGTGGCTCAGTGGTTGAGCATTGACCTATGAACCAGGAGGTCTCGTTGGATTCCTGGTCAGGGCACATGCACTGCAGGCTGGATCCCCAGTAATAAGGGTCGTGTAGGAGGCAGCCAATCAATGATTCTCTCATTGATGTTTCTCTCTCTCTCTCTCCCTCTCCCTTCATCTCTTTGAAATCAATTTTATATATATATATATATGACTCTTAAGTTTTTATGTAACATTGTAGAGCAGGAGGATGGTAAGAAAGCCACAGCATGGACTTGAGACAGACATGAGAGTGAACTGCCCCCTTTACCATAACTGGCTGTGTGAGCCTGAGCAAATTGTGGTGAGGGTATCATGGAGCACAGGGCTCAACATCCAGGTTACTGTGGGCACAACCAGCAGGCTCATTCAGACTGGCTAGCTCCTGGCCAGCTCAAGGTGTTTCCCTTTGCCTGGAAACGGGAAGGTGTGGCTGAGGCACAGGGCTTGCAGGGGAGCAGCTCAAGGAAAAAGCGGGAGAGGAACCCCTGCCTGTGAGGACCTACTGCCCCTGGCTGAAGGAGGTGAGTGAGTGGAACGGCACTTCTGGGCTAAGGGCTTGCTTGAAAAGGTGTTGGGTCCTATTGTGTGCTGGGAGAGCGGGGTTCCCACCCAACCCTGGGACGGGGTAAGGTAGGAGTCAACATCTTAGGAAGAGTTCCCTAAAATCAGGAGGCTAGTTCAGCCACAAGCGATGACCCAGAGCCCTTGACTAGCGGGTCCCAGGGACTTGGCATCTGTTAATAAGAATGAAGTGTATCCGTACACACCCCCTACAGGTCTGGACCGGACCAGGCCCCAGTGACAGCGCCTGCCGCCTGAGCTTCCGGCCATGTACGCCTACAGCAGCCTGGCGCCCGGGCACGGCGCCTGGCCGCCCCTGCAGCCCCTCGCCTACACCTACCTGCCCGGCCCCCTGCTGCTGCCCTGCATCCGGGCCCACACCGTCTGCGGCCGGCCTCCGGCCCCGGGCGCCGGCGGCTGGACGGCCCCGCGGGAATACCACACTTTCCACGGCCCGGGCGCGCCGCCGGGGCCCGCGCCGCTCTGCTGGGCCCTCCCGCCGGCCTCCGCCGCGGCCCTGGCGCCGCCGCTCCCGGCGCCCGGCGACCCGGGATCGTTGGCGCCGGCGCCCGCGGAGACGGCAGCCGCGAGCCGGGCGCCGTGGCCCGAAGGCGGCAGCCTGCGGGCGGAGCTGCGCTGGGGCCGCGTGGAGCGCGCGTGGGGCGCGCGCCTGGCGCTGCCGGACCCGGTGCGCCGCGAGCTGCGGCGCGCGTATGGCACGTTCCCCCGCACCGACGTGCGCGTCACCTTCCGGGGCGGCGAGTTCCTGCTGGAGGCCGCGCCGCGCGTGGGCGAGCCCGAGGTCCGCGCGCGGAGGCGCCGGCCGCGCCCGCCCGCCGGCAGCGGCAGCAGCGGCAGCAGCGACGGCAGCGACAGCGCCCCCGCGCGGGGAGCGGCGGAGCGCGGCCGCCGGGAAGCGGGCAAAGGCCGGGGCTGAGCGCGCGCGCGGCGGGGGGGGGGGGGGGGGGGGGGAGCGGGTTCCGCGGGGAGCACGCGCGCCTCTCCTCCGGGGCGAGAAGGGGGACCTCGGCTTTGCACCAGGAAGGGGTGCACCTGTCACCTGTCTGCTTTTTATTATTATTATTTTTGAAAATATATTTTATTGATTTTTTTACAGAAAGGAAGGGAGAGGGATAGAGAGCTAGAAACATCGATGAGAAACATCGACCAGCTGACCGGAATCGAACCTGGGACCTTTCAGTCCGCAGACCGAAGATCTATCGGCTGAGCCAAACCGGTTTCGGCTATTATTATTATTATTATTATTATTATTATTATTTTAACCAGCACTGCCCCCGCCCCTCTCCTGCACCACCTTGATTTCTCTCCTGTTATTGCTGGATGGTGGGGAAGAGCGAGGAGGGGTCAAGGACATCACTGGGGAGGGGGGGGGGGGTGTCCTGTTCCTCTTCCCTTTTACCTGGGTGTGGGGTGAAGAAGGGCCTGCACCTTTTGTTTCCCCTCTCTCTCTCCTCCTCCCCATCTCTTCCCTTAGCAGACTGCGATGAGCCCCCCATTTCCCCTTTCTCTTCTCCTCCCTCTAGCAAAGCTCCCCGAGGTCCCCAAGCTGAGGGCCCGCCTATCTCCAGCTTGTAATGAAAAATAAATGAACGCAGTCAAGTGTATAGTGCGAGATCATTTGTATGTTTGGAGGTGGGGTGTTTTCTGTGTAATGCAAGCCTTCCTTCCCTGTCTGGGGTTCAGAGAGTTGGGAGGGGTTAGAGTGGCCCTCTGGGGAAAAATGTGCCCCCCCCCCCGTCCCCGCCCCTCCCCTCATCCCACAGAGCGCTGCTGAGGGCATGAGCTCTTGTGGAAGCACAGGTGGCAGACATGGCTGGGGAGGCGATATCTAAAACCTAGACAGAGCTGGCGCTGACAGTTTCTAGTCATACAGAAACTGAGCCTTAGTTTCTTTGTCTGCTACAAAGCATAAAACCAACCCAGCCTACCTGGAAAATTAACTAGGGCTGCAATTTAAGTTGCATGTCACTTCTAGTTCCCTGATTCTTGCTAATAGTCTTTAATAAGTTGAATTTGCAATATTTGTGAGAGTTTGTTGGAGGTTTAGGTCCACAGATCCAATTTTTTAAAATATATTTTATTGATTTTTTTACAGAGAGGAAGGGAGATAGTTAGTTAGAAACATCAATGAGAGAGAGTCATCGATCAGCTGCCTTCTGCACATCCCCTACTGGGGACGTGCCCGCAACCAAGGTACATGTCCTTGACCAGAATCGAACCTGGGACCTTTCAGTCAGCAAGCTGACGCTCTATCCACTGAGCCAAGCCCGTTTCAGCCACAGATCCAATTTTAACTATGGACTAGCCAGACCACCTGAGCTGATACCTCGGCTGTATAAATGTGGCTCCTTGTGGAATTGCTTTTACTGAACTTTCATTTGTAAGTGGCCAAAGCTGCCTGGGTATTTAGCTATGTTATTGAAGCGATTGGACACTGCTGTGTCTATGAGGAGCTTCATGGAGAAGTTCCTGAAACCTCAGCACTTGGGAAAGGTTTCTTCTGGTGAGTGTTTTTTGTTGTTGTTATTGTTTTTCATTCATTTGTGGGTGTTTTTTTTTTTTTTAATCTTTGAAATACCAAGTATCTCAAAACTGCTCATATTTTTCTCTCTGCCCTGGTTTCTAGGGAGCTCCAAGCCAAGTTTTCTTGCATCTTTTGTATTGTACAAAGCCTGGATCCTAATTTGTAATTCCTAATTTCATCTTATTTTCCTTTCCTTTTTTCTTTTTAATTATAAAACATAGAGAGGTGATTACAGGCCTTCCGTGTGACCTTAGGGGAATTACTTAATGTCCCTGAAACAACTTCCTCATCGCAAACCGATATGATGGTATTAGAACCTATTATCATAAGGTTTTTGAGAAGATGCCGTAAAATTCTGCACATTAAATGTTTGCCACAGTTCTGCTCAGTGGTTAGAGCATCAGCCCATGCACCGAAGGTCAAGGGCACATACCTGGGTTGGGGGTTTGCTCCTCGGCCCAGGAGGGCACATTCAAGAGGCAACCAGTCTGTATGTCTCTCACATCAATGTTTCTCTCCCTCCCTTCCACTTTCTCTGAAAAGCAATGGAAAAAAAATATTCTTAGGAGAGGATTAACAACAAAAATGTTTACCACAGTGCCTGGCAGATACTAAATGCTCAAATATTAGTGATTTTTTTAAACTTTTTTTTAATATATATTTTATTGACTTTTTACAGAGAGGAGGAGAGGGGGATAGAGAGCTAGAAATGTCGATGAGAGAGAAACATCGACCAGCTGCCTCTTGCACACCCTCTACCAGGGATGTGCCCGCAACCAATGTACATGCCCTTGACCAGAATCGAACCTGGGACCTTTAAGTCCGCAGACCGATGCTCTACCACTGAGCCAAACCGGTTTCGGCAAATATTAGTGATTTTTTTAAAAAGTTTGCAATAAAAAATATAGAATATGGGAAGTTAAAAATCTTTTCTAATATCCCTCACCCCCAAATGATCACTGGGGTCCAATCTATTTTTTTCTGTACACATGGTATTAATTACTTGAAAGGAACCTCACTGTTTTTGCCACCTGCATTTTATATTAAGTATACTTTGGATATCATTTCATGTCCATGCACATGGAGCTTCCTCATTCTTTAACATCTCCCCAATATTCTGTAACATTTTAATTCCTTCCAGTTTTTAGCCATTGAAAGTCCATCCGATAAATTTCTTGAGTGCCTATTATTTGCCAGCAACTTGTACTAGGCCCTGGGAGACAGTAGTGATTAGACAGTCTCTGCTCTTATGGAACTTGCATTTTAGTAGGAACATATAGGGATGGGGCAAAGAATAAAGGGAAATTTCATAAGTACTACAGTGAAAATAGGGGTTGAAATGGACAATGCAAGTGGAGTAGTGGAACTTAATTAGAATGAGGTAATCAGGGAAGGCTTCTCTGAGGAGGTAGCATTTAAACTGAGTACAAAGAAGCTGGCCCTGCAAACAGAAGGTGAGGGGGAAGCTGGGCTGAGGGTATGGTGGGTGCCAAAGCCACAAGTAGTGACATTTATCTTCATTCATTCAACAGGCATTTGAGAGCCTACAATAGGTCAGACAGTATTTGAGATACTGGGGCTACAGGCGAAACCCAAGTAAATCCTTGTCTTCATGGAGCTTACTTTAGAGATGCAATGTAGAGAAACAGAGGATGACAATAAGCAAATGGGTGCATTCATGATGTAATGTCTGATAAGTGATGGAGTGCTGTTTTCAGTGGGATATTTAGAGAAGGCTTCTTTAAAGTGACTTTTTTCTTTTTTTGAGAGAGGGAGGAAGGGAGAGGGAGAGAAACATTAATGTGAGAGTGGAACATAGATCCACTACCTCCTGCATGCCCCTCCTGCAATCCAGGAATGTGCCCTGACCAGGAATTGAACCAGCAACTTTTTAGTGCATGGGACAAAGCCTAACCAACTGAGCCACACTGGCTAGGGCTTAAGAAGTGACTTGTGAGTGGAGACAAAGACCTTTGCAAACCATTTGAATACCTGAGGGAGAAAAGCAGGTGCAACAACCTGAGGCTGGAATGATTTTTCCTGTGAGTGAATGAGTGAAAAAGTGGTATTTAGTGAGATTAAAGATCCAACTAGATCCTATGGCACCTTGAAGCCATATTGAGAATTATGGACTTTATTCTTAGGGGGAGAAGGTTGTGAGCAGGAAAAAATGTGACCAGGCTTAAAGAACTATTCTGGATGTTGTATGAAAAAGAGACTGTAATGGGTTTTTGAAGTAATACAGGCAAATAAGATGATGATGTGGTCATATTTGGAAGTAGTGAGGGTAGTAGTAGTGAGAAAACAAATAACTTTGAATATGCAGCTTGATCCCAAACACAAGTGTTAAATTGTAGAATATAAGTCTTCAAATAAGAAATTGAATCATTGAACAATGACTCTCTAGTAGCAACAAGCACAGCCAGCTCCCAGATCTCTGATTCTAAATTCCACTCTCCACTACAAGGAGCAAAGTCCCTTGGAAAGTGGTTCAGTGGATAGAGCATCAGCTCACAGACTCAAGGGTCCTGGGTTCGGGTCTGGTCAGGACATGTACCTTGATTGCAGGCTCATTTCCAGCCCCAGGGCCTGGTGCAGCAGGCAACCAATTGATATGTCTCTCTCACATCTATGTTTCTCTTTCTGTCTCTCTCCCTCCCTTCCACTTTCTCTAAAAATCAATGGGAAAAAGAAAAAAAATTTAAATGGGAAAATATTGTTGGGTGAGGATTAAAAAACAAACAAACAACGGAGCCAGTTTGAAGGGACTTCCACTAGCAAATCAGGGACAATGTAAGCATCAAAACAAATAGTCACAGGAACAGATTATAACTGGAAGTAAGTAAGGATGCATAAATATATCCTAATATTATCTAAATAAATAAATAAATATGAAAGGAAAGCTGTTTCTTACAGTAGAAGGAATAATGAAATTAGAAATTCACCATTTCCAACCATTTCAGTAACTGATTCAGATGAGAATCATTCATGGATACTAAAACAAGTAGGTGGGCTCTAGCCGGTTTGGCTCAGTCTTCAAACTACGGCCCCCGGGCCACATGCGGCCCGCAGAGGAGTCTGATCCGGCCCGCCAGGTTTTTTGGGCAGTGAGCGCAGCCGAGGTGTTACAGTAGGAATTAGTAGTTCATATAGTCCGGCCCTCCAGCTCTCTGAGGAACCGTGATCTGGCCCCCACTTTAAAAAGTTTGAGGACCCCTGGATAGAGCGTAGGCCTGTGGACCAAAGGTTCCCGGGTTCTATTCTGATCAGGGGCACGTACTTTGGTTTCAGGGTCCTGGTCAGGGCTCCTGCAGGAGGCAACCAATCAATATATTTCTCTCACATCGATGTTTCTCTCTGTCTCTTCCACTCTTCCTAAAAAAATCAATGGAAAAATATCCTCAGGTGAGGATTAAAAAAACAAACAAATAAAACTAATAGGTGAAAGTCTGATGAGAAACAGGGTATTTATATAGTTTCAAAGTATGTTCCAATAAGGTATTTATTAATCATAAAGCAAATAGTAACAACTTAGTAGTATAGTAGGGAAAACAGTGAATAACACTTGAACTCCATTGCAGTACTCCTTGAATAAAGACATTCTTATCATCTTTAACAACAGTGTCTTGAAATTTTTTTCTTTACCAGAGACAAGTCAACATCATGTGATCTCTGATATGTTAAACTGGAAAAAAACACATCAATTCAGCAGTAATGCATAATCATGAGGAAACATCAGGTAAACTTAAATTGAGACACAACCCCGTTGGTCTTGATTGTTCAAAAAATGTCATAAAAGACAAAGGAAGTCAGAGAAACTGTTTCAGGTCAAAGGAGACTAAAGAAACATGGAAGTAATGCAATGATCCTGTTTGGGATCTCAGCCCAGAATGAAAATTGTTATGAAGGACATGATTGGGACAAGTAGTAAGATTTGAAATAAGGACTACAGAGAGAGAAAGCAACGAGGCAGAAGGTTAACAGTTGGTCAATCTGGTAGAAGGATAAGCAAGAGTTCTTTGCACTATTCTGGCAACTCTTTTGTAAGTTTGAAATAATCTTTAAAATAAAAAATAAAAATAAAAAAAATAAAACAGAAAAAAGAAAAATAATAATAAAAATTTAAAAATTAAAGAAAAAATAAAAAAAGAAAAACAAAGAAAGAAAAAAAAACTAAAAAGAAAAATGAAATAATCTTTAACTAAAAATAAAAATGTAAAAAATAAATTGAATTTCTGGGTCAAAAGGATACACATTTAAGATGTACTACATATCACCGAAACCGGTTTGGCTCAGTGGATAGAACATCGACCTGCGAACTGAAAGGTCCCACGTTCGATTCCAGTCGGGCATGTATTGTACATTGGTTGCGGGCACATCCCCGGTAGGGGGTGTGCAAGAGGCAGCTGGTCGATGTTTCTCTTTCATCGACGTTTCTAGCTCTCTATCCCCCTCTCCTCTCTGTAAAAAAATCACTAAAATATATATTTTTTAAAAATCACTAAAATATATTTTTTTTAAAAGATGTACTACTTATCTATATTACAGATTTTGTTTTAATCTTGGAGAACTGTCTTTATGCTTGTAAGCCTCCTCAAATCCTGTTTTGAAACAAGGCAGGTTTCAAGTAAATCTTGGGTTTCACACTAAGCAACATGTGTCCTGATTCCCCTTCCCTCTCTTTCCTCTTGGGCCCAAATCCTTGGAGTCTCTCAATTTCCCCCATCTCTGAGGGGTCTGCATTGCTCACACACATTTCTGCCAAGGCTCCCACTGACACTCTGGAAATGCCCACGAGTTTATCCCTGTCCTCTGAGTAGAGGCTTTTGAAGGAGGTGCTGCCACTCAGCTCAGTTCCGCCTGCCCTGTACTTCCAACCCCCAGCGTTTGCTCCCCGTCCTGTGGACGTAAGGGAGTCCTTCAGGGAGCCTGGATGCTTCCTTCTTTGATCTTTTCTTTGAACTTGACATTTACATGCTTAGAAATCATAAAACATCTGGGCTGCCAGGGATCGTGCTGGTCATCCCGGTCCAACCCCCTCATTTACATTACGCTGGGAAATCAAGGCCAAGGGAAGTGACTCACCCCAGTCACACAGTGGGTAGGAATCCAGAGGTCCGAGATCCCAGCAGGGCTTGGGCCACCAAACCCTGATCCTGATGGCCTCTTCCTCCTAGCCTTGTCCCAGCCTTACCCAACCCTGGCATCTCATCTGGAGCCCTTCACTCGATGAACTCTGACTGACCAATTTTTAGGCCACCTCTCAACTGGATAGTTTACATTCTACTCAAGGGAGCAGGCCATGAGCTAAAGTCCTGTGTAGAAACTATTATTGTAACTCAATTCAATCTTCACAAAACTTTGATGTGGATATAATTATCATTCCCATTTTAAAATGATGAAAATGATGCCCTAAACTGTTTGGCTTAGTGGATAGAACATCAGCCTGTGGACTGAAAGGTCCCAGGTTTGATTCCAGTCAGGGGCATGTATCTTGTTTGCGGGCACATCCCCAGGGGGGCAGTGTGCAGGAGGCAGCTGATTGATGTTTCTCTGTCATCAATGTTTCTAACTCTCTATCCCTCCCTCTTCCTCTCTGTAAAAAAACATAAACAAAAACACAATAAAATATAAAAAATAAAATATAAAAATGAGGAAAATGGGGCCTACAGAGGTTAACAACTAACTCAAGGTCACACATAGAGAATGCACCTGGGAAATCTGACTGTAGCCTTAACCTCTAGGCCACACTGCCTGTCTCTTTATTGATGAGACACACTCAGAAAAGTTTAAGGAACATTCATTAAAAAGCTACTGTGTGCAGAACACTGGCCTAGACACTAAGGGACTCACGAATCGAGCCGTGATGGAGGGGAGCATGGAGGACTTCTAGGAGATCGTATGTACCATTGGGGAGAGGCTTTTTGAAAGAGGGCCCCCCCCCCCCTTAAAGGATGCACAGGATTCCAGCAGAGGGATGGGGAGGAGGGGTCGTAAGAAGCACTGAGGAGGAACATGGCAGCAGAAGCAGGAAGCAGCAGGGTTTCATTGGAAGATCAAGCTTCAAAAGCTACGTGGAGGCCATGCTATGAAAGACTTTCATGGAAAGGGAAGGAGTTCTGGAGGGTCCTTCCAGTCTTTGAGCAGAAGAGTAGCCCACAGAGCACCTGGCTGGGCCGCTGTGAGCCTGAGCCACGACCTTGGTATTGGCGGGTAGCACAGCCGGGCACCAGAACTGAGTCCCGAGGGCATTTGCTAGAGCTCACAGCCTATGGAATTCAGTTCTCAGAGCCAGGTGGCCAAAGTTCTCTCAGCCCGGATGCTGCCCTCCCATGCTCACGTCTGTGAATTTCCCCCCAGTTCCCAGGACGGGTCAGATAAGGAACGTGGGATCTCAAGATTCCTACTATCCCAAGGAGGGTCTAGCTTGGAGCTGAAAATAGGGCCCGTTGCTAGGAAAAGGGACAAAGGATCTTTAAGTTTCAAAAGGCATGCACGTAAGACACGAGGGGAGGGAACTAAGGGCCAAGGCAAGAATTCTGTGGGCACTGCCAGTTAGTCCCATCGTCTCATGCCCAGATGTGCTCCTCCTCCTAGTGGGACCAGATGTGAAGCTGGAGGGGTTAGGGGTTGGGAGAAGAGTCAGAACTTACCTACTGAGAAAGGCAGCATCTTTCTAGAGACGAAGTGGCTTCCTGAGCCAGAAGGGAGCTCCTCATATGGATGCCCAAAACAGCAGCCCAGGAGTCCCAGCTCCCCGAAAATCTCATCTGAAGTACCCAAAAGACAGGAGAACGGGAGAGAACGATTTCCCTGAAACACACTTTCACTTTCTAATCTAGAGCATCAAACTGAGGGCTGAGTACTCTTGCCACTCACAAGGCAGAGCCGCAGCCTATCCCTCAAGAGGGAAAAGCAAGGCAGCAGGCTCGGGAGCCACCCTACCCTCACCCTGCTTGAGTTGAAAGAAAGGGGGTGGCACTTACCAATGGAGCCTCCTCTCTCGCTCCCAGGGCTGGATCTGCAGCGATGCTCTCAGAGGGAGCTTCTTAAATAGGGCCCCATCTGCCCCAGCCAACTCCTGCCCCCGCCCCGTCCTGGCTCTTCTGAGAAAGGAGGAAGGTGTGGGAGGGCTGGGCACACTGCCCAGAGAGCCCTTTCTGACCTCAAGCAAGAGTGGGGACATCCCTTCTGCACACCCCCTTCGGAGTGTCCCCTTCCTCACCTCAGTCTCTGAGTCTCTCCCAGCCTTTGAGACCAACCAGCTGGGTCCTTTCTCTGCTCTTAATGTCTGGGAAATCTGCCCTTCATGCCTAATTCCTCAAACATAAGCCTCCCAATCGGCTAAGGATACCCACGCACCCAAACACCAGCTGCAAAATTCACTTGAGAGGGAACGGGGAGGCATCGCTCTACGTCACATGTGTCAAACACAAGGCCCGCGGGCCAAATCCGTCCCGCCAGGCCTTGCAATGTGGCCCGCACCGCGCTGTCATCACTGCACTCCGCTGCACTTCCATCACAATGACAGTTTATGACTGTTCAGTAAACCATTCGGCCCGCGATTTAGGCTGGATTTTAGATTTTGGCCCCTTCTCTGATTGAGTTCAACACCCCTACGTCCTTTCAACCTGTGTGGCTTTAAACTGCACCCAAAGGCCAGGTGGAGCTTGTTCCCATCTCAGGGAGGGAGAGACTGAGAGAAAAACAAACATCTTAAGGTCTGGCCAGCTGGGGAATGCTGAGCAGGACGTGTTTTCCCTGGAGCCCCCACTTGACAGTTGGTGTGTGTCCTTGTGTCTGTGGTTGTCTCTCTCCTCGGTCCACCCTCTGTCCTCTGCCCCAGAGCCTGGCCCCTGCTACACAGAGTTGGCGCTCTCCGAAGTTTGAGCTGGGAATTTAGGGGTTCACCCCAGGAGGTCTTTCCCATCATCCTTCCCTGAAGGATCAGAAGTTCTTTCTGATGAAGACAACTAGTCACATCCAAGAACAGGTGATGGGGAAGGAGAAAGGCAGTGCGAGGGACGGCTACAGGAGTCTCAGGGCCCAAACGAGGGACAGCTACTGAGGAGAACTGGCAGTTCCTGTCATGGGGGCGCTGGGAGGGAAGAGTGAGCATCAGTATTGTGCAACAGGCGGGGTGCAGCGGGAGAGGTTGGGGAAGGGGAGAATGGTCAGTGAGGCTGTGGAGCCACCCACCCTCCCTTCCCTGGGGCCAGTCTACCCGAGTTCAAAGTGACTGTTACCACACCCCTCATTAACCCCAGCAGCGCCAGGCTGGCAGCGGCAATGTTTTATGGGAGCACAAGGCCCGATGTGCTCCCTCCTCTCTCCCTCCCTCCCCGTTTCTGCCCCCTCTCTCCAGCAGCCAACATCTTGCTTTTTGGTGGGAGCTGCAGTGAGAAACGGCTGGAAAAGGAAGCAGTGATTCCCCTTTTGTCCCTATTTTGGTACTGCCTCAGGTCCTCGGGGAGAGGGGAGGGTGGGACTTTCTAACGGACAGTCTCTGGGTCCTCAGCACGGTACCAAGGGACTTAGCCCTGAAAAAGGAGCTCATCCCTGCAGATTGGGGATGAATGAGCTCATTCTTAAAGGGAACTCTTTCCCTGATGGCCCACTGTGGGGGTTTTTTGAGACGAAAACTCCCCACAGGGTAGCTTCCCCACAGGGTAGCGCCCGGAACCCGAGGCAGCAGGAACCGAAAGAGGAAGCTGAGGCGGGGGTGGGTCCCGGAGCTCAGGTACCCTGTCCTCAATGAGAAGCTCTGTCACCACGGGCATGAAGGCCTGGCGGCCAGCATGGCCTGCAGGCCTCCTGGGTCTGAGCTCAGGTCCATCCTCACCCAGAACACCACCTTCCCACCCGCGCCTCTGCCCAATCCAAGACCCAGACCCTGTATCCTCCCCCCATGCCCAGTCGTGGGGAGACATTTCTGTTAAGGGAACGTAAAGGGGACAGATATGGTGAGGAAGTCAACACCTAAGCGTTGACTGGGTAACAGGACTTGAACCTGGACTGGACACGAAGGGGAAGAGGCACTGGGATTTTTGGGCAAGAAGATTAGGTCTGGGAAAAGGGGCCACCAGATCCAGCCAGGGAACCTTAATGAAGGACGGGGGACACAAGAAGAGTAAGAGAAAGCTATAAAGCGGAAACTTTGTGGGAAAGAAATAAGGCGGATGGGAAGACACTGGACGGGGGCTTGAGTGGAAGACATGGAACGAGGCGGCGAAACAGTCAGTGCTGCATGGACGGGTTTGGCTCAGGGGACAGAGGGTCAGCCTTCGGACTGAAAGATCTTGGGTTCGATTCCAGTCTAGGGCATGTACCTTGGTTGCAGGCACATCCCCAGCGGAGGGTGTGCAGGATGTTCCTAACTCTCTCCCTTCCTCTCTGTAAATAAAATACATTAAAAAAAAAAAAAAAAAAAAGAAAAAGAAAAGAAAGAAACAACCAGTCAGTGCTGCGACTCCACCCACTGGCGGCACCTCCGAATCCAACGCCTCCGTCCCCGCAATAAACTTGTCCGCTGCGGGAGCCCGTCCAAACCCCGGGACCAATGAAAAGGGAAGCCGAAGCCACGCCCACTCACGGGCACCTGCCCTTCTCAAACATGGTGGCCGCGGCGCCCCTGGAAGCGAGCCGCTCTGGGCGCCGCCTTTGATCTCGTTGGTGGGACGGCGGGATGAGAGCTGCACTGCGCGGGACCAGTGGCTGGCGGCGCCCGACGGAGCAGGTGATTTTCCCTCCGGCCCCGGCCCCGGCCCGGCCAGGGGAGCCGCGGAGCGCCGGCCCAGGGCGCCCGTCCTGTGTGCTCCCCCACGGCGCCCCCGGACCCCCGTGTCTGACTCTCGCCGTGCACATCCCAGCGTGCTCAGGCCTCTCTCGTCACTTGTCGTCCCAGGGCCGCCACCGCATCCCCGCGCCCTCGCGCCCTCGCGCCCACCATTCTGGAGTCCTGCGGGTACCTCGCTGGTTTGTTTGGGGAGCTCCTGCTACAGGGGTCGGCCATCATGGTAGTCCCACTTCCTGTGCTGCCCCCTCCGCCCGTGTGTGTTCCCGCCCGACTTGGGATGCCGGAATGGCTGGTGCCATCGGTGTCCTTGGCGCCTTTAAGACCGGACTGGGGGTGAGGGGACAGCGATGTCCTCTGGAGCCTGTAATGTGGAACTGGGGCCCCGGGAACCGGGCTTCAGAGGGGGCGGGGAGAAGCAGAGAATGCCTCCACCCTGGACCTCTGAGTGCCATGGGACTTATCCCACACTGGCGTCCAAAACTCTTCCTCCCACATGGCCTCTGTCCTCCCTGCACCTTGAGCACCTCCCCACCACAAAGGAACTGCCCTCCTTCCCCCAGGTACTCCCTTCCCCCAGGCTCACTTAAATTCGTCCTGTGGCAGAGTCCAGGCCTGTGCCTGGTTCTGGGGGTACTGTCAGGCCAGCAGCGGGCAGAGAGGATGGGGCCATCAGATTTGGCTGCAGAATGAGAGGCAGAGGGAGAGATGTTATGAATGGGGAGATTGGTGTGAGCAGAGACTGTGAAGTAGGCAAGAGGGCCAGCCCAGGAAAGAGGAGAATTTACCTTGTGAGCTTTGGTGCAGGGTAGTGGTTAACAGCGAGGATTCTGGAGCCATATTGCCTGGGTATAAATCTGTTATTAACTCACTGTGACCTTGGGCAAATTACTTAACCTATCAATTCCTCATTTCCTTTTAGGTAAAATGGGATAATATGATAATATTAGTCTCTAATATTTTAGAGTTATTGTGCGGGTTAGGTAAGTTAATACATGTCAAGTGCATTAGGCAAGTCCTGGGCACATTGTAAGCAGTCAGTAAGTGCTAGCTATTATTACCATTATCAAAGGTATTTAAACAGAACTTATGACAGGACAAAAGCCACATTTCATTTTTTCCAATAATCAGTGAATCTCGATTTAGATCCCCCAGGAGTAATGGGCTTCTGTAAGCTACATCCGGAATTTGAAAAGTTTTATGGAGATCATGTTCTTACTCTGCAGAAGGTTGACTGCCCAGGCTGCAGCTTCCCGACTCAGGGACTATGGAGGAGAAATGAGGAAGGCTAGGGGGATGGAGATGGAGAAGGGTGAAAGAAAGAAGTGGCAAGCTTTGAAGACTAGGTAGAGTTTGGGCAGCTCAAGAACAGGAGGAGGGAGATGTTTCCTTGGGACACAAGCTCAGGAGAAGACATTTTTTTGAACACAGTGAGGAGTTTCCCATATAACAACCCCCTAGCCCTCAGACCTTGGATAGAAATCTAGAGGCATCAGACACATCCCTGACAGCTGCTTCCCTAGAAATGGGGCTTTTATGCAGCATCTGTGGGCCTTTGGCCCAGTGAGGTTGCCAGGCAACTGATAGGAGCCATGATTTGATGTGACTGAAGGTAGATGTGGTCTCTCTAGGGGACTGACTTCTTGGGAGGAGCTGCAGGAAGGGATCTGGCATGCCTGGTCTGAGAAGTGCTGCTCCTCCTCCCCAGGGCCCACGCTAAGGTCTGGAGCGAGAGACAGGCATGCCCCTGGTAGGCTACGGCTTCTTAGTCCTGCTGTCAAAGTGACCCCCGTGCTGTCACAGCCACTCTATGTTACACTCAGGGACCAGGAAACAGATCATAGATGGTAGGCTTGTCTCAACCCACCGAGAAGTCTTGATATCCTTCTACCCCCTAAAATACACACTCAATTAGGCGACCTGGAATTAAGTCGACTACCACAGTCAAGCCATGTGACTTTGGGCAAGTCACTCAACCCACTGAGCTTCAGTTTCTGAAAAGCAGGCAGGCAGTGTTTATTGAGTGTCTACCTGACAGGAGATACTAAGAGGACATGGATGAATAAGCCAGGTTTGCAGTCCTTGCCCTTATGAAACAACTAGAAGAAAGATTCAGCGCCGTCGAAATACAATGAGGGTATAATGTGGAGGGACCCAAACCCGTTCTAGGGGGTCAGGGACAACATCCTTTGAGAAGGGAATTTGAAACAGGCCTGAAGGAACTAGACAAGTGAAGGGGTGGAGGTGGAAGGCTGCCTCAGTGGAGGAAACAGTTCCTGCAGAGGCCCTTGCCATGGAAGAGTCTGAGTGTTAGCAAACTGAGAGAAAGCCAGGGACCCAGTGGTGCATGGGAAGGCCCCGAGTCAAAGGCCACTGAAGGGAAGTCAAGCAGTAAAAACACTTTTTGGTAAAGATCATGCAACTGCGATTTTTGTGGAGAATAGATTGTTAGGGGAAAGTTGGTTGTGGGGAGAAGTATGAGAAAGCTCTTGCAGGTAAGAGATGGAGCAGAGTGGGAATAAAGATGCAGAGAAGTAGATGTATTGAGAGATTTATGGTCAGGGCATGGTGACTGATTAGATGTATCAAGGATAATTCCCATATGTGTGACAGGAAAAGCTGGTGTGTGGACATGCCATTAACTGAGGTGGATGAGTAAAAGACTTGGGTGTCGCCTGACTGGTTTGGCTCAGTGGATAGAGTGTCAGCCTGCAGACTTAAGGGTCCCAGGTTCGATTCCGGTCAAGGGCATGTACCTTGGTTACAGACACATCCCCAGTGGGGAGTGTGCAGGAAGCAGCTGATCGATGTTTCTCTCTCATCGATGTTTCTGGCTCTCTATCCCTTCTCTTCCTCTCTGTAAAAAATCAATAAAATATATTTTTAAATAAAATTATTTTTAAAAAAAATAGAGCTTCCTGCAGCCGGAGTAATAGGGGTTCTCTGCTGCCCCGCCTGCTTCCCTCCCATGTCTGCTACTATGTAAATTAACCTTCATCTTTGTTGGGTTAATTTGAATACTCGTTCTGATTGGCTAGTGGGTGTAGCAAAGGGATGGTCAGTTTGCATGTTTCTCTTTTATTAGTATAGATAAAGCAGGGTAAGGGATTAAGGAGTATGAGGATTACCTATTTTGGTAAGTTAGTCAGGGAATGTCTCTCTGAAGAGACATTTGAGCAGAGCCCTGGAGGAGGTGAAGGAATGAGGAATGTGGATATTTGCAGAGATAGGAAGAAGGTAGGCAAGTTTGGGGAACAGCAAGGAGGCTGGTGGTAGGAGTGGAGTGAGGAGGAAGTGGAAAAGTTGGAGAGGTAGGCAAAGGCCAGGCCTTGTAGGGCTCCATAGGCCTTGGAAAGGAAGATGGAAAGTCCTTTGTAGAAAGTCCCAAGCCACTAGAAGGGCAGGGATTGGTCGGGAGGAAAATTCATGGAAGACTACCCCTTCTATCTGGGCCCTGGAGCCAGAAAAGCCCCTTTGTGCCAGAAAGTGGGTGGCCATTCTTGGGGGGGAGGGCTGTGCTCAGTTCTTAAGCCTGCTCCTTGGGGGGCTGGACAATTGGCCCCTTGTGGTTAGAGTTGGGGGCTAAGTGGCCCTCTCAGTGATGGGATTCCTAAGCCAGGAGGCATGTGACCCCAAGACCTTGTCTTCTTGACACAGCGTCTGGGTCTGCTGCTAGGGAATGGGGAGGGAGATGGAGAGAGGTAATCAGGAGGGGTGAGGGGAACTGCCATTCTGGAAGCCTTCTCCTGCCACAGTACCCGCCCTGTCTCAGGCTGGAGGAGGCTTGGCTCTGTTGGGGGTGCGGGGGAGGGTTGAGAGCTAGAAGCTGTGGGCAGCATTAACAAATGGTTTCCACAGGACAGGAGGGAGGAGCTGGCTGCCCCTGGGCCTAGTGGGTAGGGGCAGGCAGGAGGAGGGCCTGATAAACCTACATCTGTGTCCTTTCAGAAGAGGAGAGAGAATGGAGCTGGAGAGGATCGTCAGTGCGGCCCTCGTTGCCTTTGTCCAGGCGCACCTCCCAGAGGCTGACCTCAGGTAGAAGCAGCTCTCCTAGAAGAATCGTGCTCGGGCCGGGTCGCAGCATGTGGGCCATGGCCAATGGAAAGACTGGGATGGGAACACTGGGCCTGTCCCTGAGGTGGGGGAGGGCTGATTATGATTTTGTGGTTCGGCCTTACGTCTTATCCTGTCCTCGTCCCATTAGTTGGATAAACCAGAGCTCTGAGGGAGGGCGGAATATTCTCTGGCCTCAAGGCTTGAGGTCTGGCTCATGGGCCGATGAAGGCGAGGGCTGGAGCCTTGGGATGGATGGGAGTGTGGGAGTATCCAGTGCTTTACCCACGGTTGTCTTGTCCCCTTCCTGCAGCGGCCTGGATGAGGTCATCTTCTCCTATGTGCTCGGGGTCCTGGAGGACTTGGGCCCCTCAGGTCCATCAGAGGAGAACTTCGATATGGAGGCTTTCACTGAGATGATGGAGGCCTATGTGCCTGGCTTCGCCCATATCCCAAGGTGGGGTCTGCCTGGGGCCAAGAGGAGGGGTGCTAGCTGATTGTGGAGGGTAGGCAGAGCTGTCTTCCTTCTTACCACCCTCACTGTCTTTTCAGGGGTACGATAGGGGACATGATGCAGAAGCTCTCAGTGCAGTTGAGTGGTGCCAGGAACAAAGGTGAGTCTGGGGAGCAGGCACTTGGATGACTTATAGCCCCCTTCCCTAAAGATCTGGCAAACGTGGTGCTCTCTCTGCCTCTTTAAGAGAACCTGCAACCACAGAGTTCTGAGGTCCAAGGTCACGTGCCCATCTCCCCAGAGCCCCTGCAGCGGCCTGAAAAGCTCAAAGAAGAGACTAGGGCTTCTCCTGCTGCTGGGGATACTCAAGATGAGGTTGGTAGAGGAGAGTACCAGTGAGGGGGTTAGGGGCAGAAAAGGAGGAAGTCCTGCCTTTTGTCAACATTTATGCCCACAGGCAGCCAGTGCTGAGGAAGAGCTGCTGTCAGGGGTGGATGTACTCCTGGAGGTGTTCCCTGCCTGTTCAATGGAGCAGGCCCAGTGGGTGCTGGCCAAAGCTCGGGGGGACTTGGAAGAAGCCGTGCAGATGCTGGTAGAGGGGAAGGAGGAGCCTCCAGCCTGGGACGGCCCCAACCAGGTATCCTCAGCCATACCCTCCCTCACCCATGGAGCTACATTCCTCCTCAGTGTTAAGCCCCCACCCCTGGCCTATCACCATATGCTCCTCTTATTGGTGACCTAGGGTCTAGACCAGGCTTTCCTCCCTGCAGGACCTATCCAGGCGCCTCAGAGGCCCCCAAAAGGATGATCTGAAGTCCTTCATCCTGCAGAAGTGAGTCTGGGCTGGGCTGGGCTTTTAAAGGGTTTTCCCAGGCGGGCAGGAGCCTCACCCAGCCCGTTTTTGGCAGGTACATGATGGTGGACAGTGCAGAGGATCAGAAGATTCACCGGCCCATGGCTCCCAAGGAGGTGAGAGAGAGGGCTGTGGGGGTGTGTGGAGCGGGTGAGACTACCTCCTGGCTTCTGCCACTCACTAACTGATTGCCCGACAGGCCCCCAAAAAGCTGATCCGATACATCGACAACCAGGTGGTGAGCACCAAGGGGGAGCGATTCAAAGATGTGCGGAACCCTGAGGCCGAGGAGATGAAGGCCACCTACATCAACCTCAAGCCGGCCAGAAAATACCGCTTCCACTGAGTCGTCCGCCAGACTCTGCCAGAGGGATGCAGAAGCCCTACCACCAGCAGGGCCCACCCGAACCCCTGACCCCTTCTCTTACCTCCTTTCTCCACCATGTTACCTTCTCGGAGCTGCCCCTGGGCACAGTAAAGGTAGCCCCAAGAAGATGAGTGCACTCTGGTCATTCCTGCCCCAGAGCTGGGGTGCCGGGGGACTGTGTCTGTCTGACCTTCTCTTCCAACCTCCTGTCCCCTTTCTCCAACAGGGCCGCGCCAGTCAGGAGGGGGTGGAAAGCTCTTTATTTGAAGCTCCAGAGTGGGGTGGGTCACTGGCCTCTCAGCAGAGGCCCACACAGTCCAGTTTCCTACAGTTCATAGGCCGGGACACACAGTCCAGCTGTGCCTCGTCAGCGGGAGGGTCAGACCTGCAGGTTGACAAAGGGTGCAAAGCCCGCCATGTCCTGCAGCAGCACCAGAGCCTGATGCAGCGGCGGTTCCACGTCGATGTCCACGCCGCGCTTCCGCAGGCGGCTCAGGCTGGGCTCAGCCACGTGGTGGCAGTGCCGCACTCGCAGTGAGCGCAGCGCAGGGCAGTGTTCCGCCAAAGTCCTAGGGGAGGTGCGGGGTGAGGCTGAGGGCGCGAAATGGCTACACCCAGGGTGGGGGAATCCAGCAAAGCTTCTATGTATCCCACTATCTCGGGGCATACTTTTTGCTTCCACACACAAGGAAGGGGGCCTGGATCGGGGTCCTATACTTCATGCCTCCAGTGAACTGGAGATTTCCTGTCTCTTAAAAGGGTTACTGCTCCTCAGCTCCCCTGGTTGAAGAAAAGCCAGAAATCTATGTAGGTGAAAACTGTGTGGATACTGATTCAATAAAGTTTCTAAACTGTGGGCTCTCAGATCTAGACAATCCCAGGGGCCTTTCCTGTTCAGAATGGGGGTGCCGTGGTAGCAGAAACCCCAGTTCTGCCTTTTGATTACTGCTCAATTCTATTCTTAGAGGCTGATTGCCCTCCTCCCATCCCACTGATCCCGGGCCCAGGCACCTGACACCGTCGCTTCCAACGCGGAGGCAGCCCGTCAGGTCGAGGTGCTCGAGTTCTGGGCAGTTTCGAGCCAACTCTTGGACGGCCGTGTCCCCCACGTTGGCGTTGACCGCCAGAGAGAGGCTTCGGAGCCCTGCACCGCGCCTCTGCGCCAGGTACACGATGGCCTCGTCCTTGATCTGACGGCAGGCGGTGAGGTCCAGCTCCTCCAGGGCCGGACAGCGGTCTGCGAGACCGCGCAGAGCCAGCCCGTCCACCCAGTCACAATGCGCCAGCGACAGGCGCTGCAGCCGCGGGCAGCCCTCGGCCAGCGCCCCCAGCGTGCGGCGGCTCAATTGCCCGCAGCCGGCCAGCGCCACGCTCCGCAGCTGCGGGTTCCGCGCCAGCACGGGCACCAGGTCCTCGTCCGACAACCATTCGTGACACGGCGCCAGCGCCAGCTCCTGCAGCCTCTCGGCGTCCCGCAGCAGCCAGGCCAGTGCGGCCCGCGGGATCTGCGGACCCACCTGCAGGCAGGGAGGCACCTCGACTCTCAGCTGGTGCGGGGGGTGGGACTGGCGCTGCCTATTCGCCCCAGATGAGTTCTTTCCTGGCAGCAGCCTGCCCTCTGGGGCTTGCCACCTGCCCTCCCAGGAGAGACCCCACGCCCCACGCGCCCTCTGAGCTGATACCGGGTACTCGCCCTTTGAGAGTACTTCCCGCAGGCGGATCCCTTCCAGGGCGCCGCTGGAGGGCTAAGGGGGTCTGGAAGGGTAGGCAGGGACCGGGAACTGGGCTGGAGACAAGGCGAGGGCGGTACCCAGATGGGGGCGGAGCTCTGTCTCCCGCTCTCCCCCGCCGCACCCCGGCTCACCTGAGCGGCGTCGAAGCGGCGCAGCCCCGCCAGGTGCAGCTGCACCAGGGCCCGGAAGGCGCGGCTGACGCGCTGCAGCCGGAGCAGCTGGCACAGCGAGACCCGGCTCAGGACGTGTGGGAGCAGCACGTCTTCCCAGGGCAGGTCCAGGAGCCTGCGGGTAAAAGGGCGTTGGCGGCGGCGGCCCGAACCGCTGTTGCCTGCGAGTCCGCCTCCGTTACGCTCCTGCGCCCTGGCTTCTAAGAGCGGCCCCGAGGCCAGGTCCCGGGTCTACTCCTCTCCCTCAGGTCCTTCTTCACTCTCGTGGCCCCTTCGGTGCTAGGTACCTGACGGCTCCCGGCTCTTGCTCCCCTCCGGACGGCTCCATCGGTAGCTCCTTCGGCTGTCTACTGCGCGTGCGCAGTAAGGTCTTCTCGCTTTGGCTCAGGAACAGCTGCCGCGAACCCGCCTCCTAGGGCTGTAGTGACAGACCAATTCAATCGATTGCCGTCTCACTGAGGATCCCCTCTGAAAGCCTTAGGGATACGGAAACGTAGGGCGGAGCAGACCTGTCCTGCAACATTACATCTCGCCTTCTCCGCTATAGGGCTTGAAGCCCGAGTCTAAAGAACGTGCTGCTGCTGCAGAGACTGGCTTCCTTTATTGCCTTGGTCCAGTGGATGATTTTGAGTGAAGTGGTGAAGGGCGGAGCAAGCAAGGCCAAACGCAGAAGGGGCAGAGCCAGAATTCCAAGGTTCTGGGTTTACCCTCTGCCCTCTGGTTGCTTTTAGGGACTTTGAAAAATGGGAAGAAACTATTTAGTCTCTTAGTAGTAGGTGCTCAATAATTGTTTAATGAATTGAATAAGTGAAGCTATTTTTTTTTTCTTTCTTCATCAAGCAATTTGCCCAAACCTCACGTTCCTGGTTAATTATAAAGTACTGAGCTATCCAACCCCTTCCACTCCCGGACGGTTTGGAACGGGTTTACACCTTGGGGAAGGCACATTAAGAAGGACTACATTTCACCTGGCCAGCGTGGCTCAGTGGTTGAGCACGTACCTATGAACCAGGAGGTCAGGGCTCGATCCCCATTGTGGGGCGTGCAGGAGGCAGAGGATCAATGATTCGTCCTCATCATGTTCCTCTCTTTCCCTATCCCTTCCTCTCTGAAATAATAAAATAAAATAAAATAAAATAAAATAAAATAAAATAAAATAAAATAAAATAAAATAAAATAAAAAGAACTACATCTCCAGCTGGGCCCCTTTCCTTCCCTAGGAGGTTTAAAGTCCTTAGAAGAATGCGTGCTCAGCTCAGCCGCCAGAAGTAGTGCTTCCCGGTTGGGGTTTTCGTGGTGGGTCTGGGTCTGGGCTACCCTCGCGCACTGACACCCTTGAGCTCAGGCCTCAGACTCTAAGCTGCCCTCTCAGGGCGTCCCAGGTCCCAGGTCCAGGGTCTGCCCCGGGAACTCCTGGAGCTATGCTTTCCCATCACCCATTGGCGGTAAGGGTGTGAGTGGCTCCGAGAGCTACTGGTGTCCCTGAAAGCTGTCCCCCAGCTGGGTTACTTCCCATCCATTATCTCATCAAGGCTTCTGGCACCTCTGCAAAGTGGGCAGGTCTGTGCTGTCACTCCATTTTAAAGATGAAACCAAAGCCCTGGAGAGGAAGCGCCTTGTCCAGGGTCGAGCGAACCCGGGATAAAGAACTAAAGCATCGCAGAAACCGGTTTGGCTCAGTGGATAGAGCGTCGGCCTGCGGACTGAGGGGTCCCAGGTTTGATTCTGATCAGGGGCATGTGCCTCGGTTGCAGGCACGTCCCCAGTGGAGGGTGTGCAGGAGGCAGGTGATCGATGATTCTCTCTCATCGATGTTTCTGGCTCTCTATCCCTCTCTTTTCCTCGCTGTAAAAAATCAATAAAAATATATTTAAAAAGTGCGGCCAGGCCCGGAGCAGCGGCTGCCAGGCTGGGAGCGGCCAGGCCCGGAGCAGCCAGGTCGGGTGCGGCCAGACCCGGAGCAGCAGCAGCCAAGTCCAGAGCAACTAGGACGGGAGCAGCAGTGACCAGACCCGGAGCAGCTGGTTGTGGAACGAACCAGAGCAACAGAGGCCAGGCCCGGAGCAGCCAGGCCCAGAACAGCTCGCTCCTCACCTGCTCCTGCCCCACGGCCTCCTCTCAGACATGGCTGGAAACTTTTGCGGGAACTTGAGGGTCTGCTGAATCAAGTGATGAAGGCTTAGATCTGGATGTGTTGAGTTAGTATAGCGCTGGGGTGTTGATCTGTGAGTGCCTTGGGTGGGGCCTGGATGAGGCTGGTTGACCTATTTGGAAATGTCTTTTGTGTGAAGTGTATCATTGGGCATGTGGAGGTATTATTGATATGAGAAAATGCTAAGTAACTGATTTACTATCTGAAAAGGGATTTACTATCGGGGAAAGGGAGGGAGGAAGAGACTGAACATAAACTGTGCACCTACGGATGAGGACAATGGGGGAGGGGGAGGGGGCGGAGGGTGGGGTGGGAACCTGGTGGAGGGGGGAAGAAATGAGGAACCTTTGTAATAATATGAACAATAAAGATTGATATATATATATATATATATATATATATATATATATATATATATATATATTTTTTTTTTTTTTTTTAAAGAACTAAAGCATCCTGGGTTTCTCAGAATTCTTTCCACATTCCTTCATCTCCCAATGCAGTGAGGGCAGAGAAGCCCGCAGAGGGGAAGGATCAAAGAGGGTCAGCTTGGGAGAGGACTGACTTCTTCCTCCGCCTGCTCGGGGAGGCCACCGCTGGAAGGACCCCACTCTGCTCAAATAGAGCCACGTGGGCGCGCACCCCCTCCGGCGCGCGCCGCCGCCGCCGCTCCCCGCTTTGTGAGCGCCTCTGCGCCTGCGCAGTGCGACAAATCTGGCGCTGTCCCCTTCAGCACCGCGCGGAGCCCGAGCCGCCCTCCCCGCGGTGAGCCCCGCGCGTCCCCGCCTCGCACGTCCTCGCGCCCCCGACCACCCAAACAGACCCCCTCTCCTCTCCGAGGTCACCGTCTGCAGGCCCTGGCTTTCGCTAGGAGAGCAGTTGCCATAGCAACTCTAGCGGCTCTTACTTAAAAATAGATAGGCCCCCCCTTTTACCTTGGCCAAGGGCACAAGGGTTGCCTTTCCCCCCCCCCCCGCCCCCCAGCTACCTTCAGTCCCCGCGTCATCCCTTCGAACCTCTTATCTTATGTAAATGGGCGCCTCACTCAGGCATCAGGGACGTTCTTCCT